AAGGCCTTGAGGAGTTAAGTGATTTGTCTATGGTCTCACAGGCAATAAGTAGCAGAGACAGGATTTAAACCAAAGTCCTCCTATCTCGAAATCTGTAGTCTTTTCTCTGTATCACACTGCCTCACTAAGTATGTTGAAACACTTCTATCAGCACTACCTCTAAATGGCCCAATGCAGCTCTAAGTTATTTGGACTCATTTATATGGGCATCAAAAAAGTATCTTCTCTGTTGTTTCAGCATTGTGTTAGTTATACTCCACTTTGTTGTTCAGTTGAGTTTGACTCTTCATGACTCTATTTGGGGTTTTCTTGACATAGATACTGGAGCAGTTTGCCATTCCCTTCTCCAGCTCATTTTAAATATGAAGAACTAAGGCAGCAGGGTTAAGTGACTTGTCCAGGGGTGACACAGCTAGTAAGTGTCTGAGGACATATTTGAGCTCAGAAAGATGAGTCTCTCTGACTGCAGGCCTGACACTCTATCCACTGAGCCACCTAGCTGCCCCATATTTCACTTACCTAAAGATTATCTAGAATGGCCTATAACTTTGAATTGCCAATAGTTCTCTCTAGCAGTTTAGCACAGTGCCTGACACATAGTAGGTACTTAACAATGTTTATTGACCATTGACTCTAATAGAAGGATCATCCACTTCCCACAGGGTAGACCCTCATTGTTTTCTTATCAAAAAACAACTTGTACTTCATGTGTAACAACAGAGTGAGGTTTAGTTCTAAGTGCTAGTTTATGCTGACCAATGAAGGTCTAAGTGTTCTCTGCTCCCTTCTATTTAAAGATAAGCAGCAAGACCCTTCAGAACTCAGGTGGGTATGGCGTTACTGAAGCCAGCAACACTTTAGGGATGGGTTTGAAACAATACTGTGAAATGAACAACTTGTGAACAACTTGTTGTAATCCTTTTAAAATGACAGGGGAAAGGGGAATCCTTCATATGATGTCAATGGAACTGGTACAGAAGAATTTGAAACATTTTTTTTTTCAGGAATGGGGTTTCATTTCATATCTTTTTCATAGTATTAGAATTCTTATGGCATCCCAGAGTTGTCCTTCTGGTGAAGTGACCCTCTACCTCTGGAGCATGTTCCAAACAGAATGACTATTCATCAAATGGCTAGAGAGCATGAGAAGTTACAGATACTATACAGTTTACAAAAACCCTTTCATCTGGCATCCCAGTGGGTCAACAATGATCATTTTTAGAAATAGGTGATTCTCTAGTTTGCCCATCTGTGCCCTTTCCCCACCAAGTCTGCTTCTTTGGGGTTCCTTCTCCAAAGTTAAACTTATTCTGCCAAAGAACACCAGATTTATGATCAGTTCATCTTCTCGTGGGGGCCGTCTCCAGTCATCCTGATCTGTATCTTGCCACTGGACTCAGATGGTTCCAGAGGAGAAAGTGAGGCTGGTGACTTTGCACAGCCCTCCCTCACTTAAATTCAATTCACTTGTAAGTCATGACATCATCTTCCTGATGTCATGGTCCTCTTCCAGAACGAAGGACAAACAACAGCAGTAATCTACTAGCAATGGTACTCATATTACCTCTTCCTTAAATACCCTAGGCAAATGTGGCCTCTGATAGTGTAATTAGTCACAACTTGCTTTAGCTACTTCTCTTATTGTCCCAGATCAGTGAGGTTCCCTGAGACTCAGTGTGCAGAAGGGTCTGTGATTTGCATAAGTAGAGGGAATCTCAACCCTAACACAATAAGATTCTTTCAAGTATTTAAGATTTAAATTTCTAGCTTGCATAGTATTTGTGGAGTTAGTGAAAAAAGTCATAAGGGCAACTAATGGAAAAGGTAGGAATTTATTTACCTAAATATAAAATCATTTGTGTTCTCAGACATTTAAACAATAGAGGATTCCAAATCCATAAAAAATATTACATATAAACAGAACCTTTAGATTATGAATATTGATAGCATTTCAGCTTAAACCAGTAATAAACCATGAGAAAAATGAATAAAATACTGTCATTGCACTGAAGGTCTTGATGGACCAGGTAATTTGACTGAGAAAGCAAGGAGATATGAACATGCTTCCTCAATCTTTGTTCCATTACCTTTCTCCTTGCCCTGAATAATGGTGGGGCTGGAATTTAAGAGGATAAAGAAAGGGGCAGAGTAGGAAAAAAGTGGTCCACTTTTTGTTGCTGAGTGAGTATGTATGTCAAATTGGGTGGAGACCATTTAGGATGCAATTAAACACATGGCATTCAGAAGAGAAGCAACAATGGCAGAGCTAGGTGAGCATGGAATCTATGCTTTTTTCTCTAACACCATTTGGATAGGCCCTGGTAACCTTGCTCAGTCATGTTCTTTGGGGACCAGTACCTCCTACACTTACTTGTTTAGAGGAAAACTGCAACTCCCCAGTTACTGGGAGTTTCTAGGGTCCCAGATCTCTTGGGTAGGACCTTGTGAGTGCCTGAAGGGAAGCAGTGAGGATATCATCCTGACTGGACCAAAAGGATCATGTTGAGGACATGTGTCTGGAAAGGTACCATAGGGTAGGAAGCAGAAAGAAGAGATTGATTGACAGCATGAGCAGATCAGATATGCTCAGGTTGACTTCAGTGGCTGTACAAACAGTCTGCTTTGGGCACTGTGTTGGCAGTGAATTGGCATGTGGGCAAGGTTCAAAGTGTTTAACCTGAGGACATGCCAGGTTAGAGAAGCACTGAAAACTGGGAACATCAGATTTTGGAGTTGTGCCTGACAAGTGGGACCTTGAAGTATTCCATGGCACTGAAATACTTTCTTTCCATTGAAAGAGGGGGGATGTGTATTTTTTCCCCATGCTAATTATATTCAACATGGTTTAAAACATTTGGAAAAGGAGGAGTATTTTTCAATTGCTAGGTGAGTAATCCAACTTTGTAACAGTGGGGCAGCTATGGCAGCCAAATTTCTTTTTTTTCTTCTGCGTTAAAACTTTGAAGTAATTTTTATTTTTATTTTTTGCACTGTTGCCCGGATTCTGATAATGCATCTATGTGAACAATATTATTAGATTATGGTCTGCTACTTAGAGATCATGCTATTGTATAATACCTTGCTTAGTTTTTACTATAGGTTCCAAAACAGGTTTAATTTACAAATATACTGAAAAAAATGGAAGTCCTGGTAAATGGAGCCTTTAAAAGCTTTCATCTACTTTGGAATAAAAATTATATATTGATAAGACATTCTTATCTACACTCTCAGTGATCTCATCTATTCCCAATTATCATCTTTATGATGACTCTCAAAACTAGCCCTAATTTTTGTCCTGAATTTTATCACTGCATTTCTGGTCATCTCTACTTGAAGGTCCATTTTGTCTCTTAAACTGACATATTCAAAATGGAACTTACCATCTTCTTCCCTGAACCATCCTCTTCTTAAAACCTGACTATTTTGTTGAGATCACTACCATTATTCCTATTACCAAGATTTGTAAGATCTCCCAAATTGATCTTGATCTATTCATCTAGTAACCTAATAGAAGCTCTCATTTTCTTTACTTCAATTAGCATGTAATTCATCTCCATGCTTTCAGTCTCTTCTTTCTCCAACTCATCTTTCAAGCCACCATCAAAATAGTCTTCTACCATCAGGCCTGATCTCATTACTCCCCCATTCAAACACTTTTAGTCATTTCAGATCATACACAGGTCTCCAATTGAAAAGAAAACTGGCTCAGAGTCAGAGAACCTGTGTTCAAATCCCAAATCAAATACTCACTACCCAAGTTAGTCACTTAATACTCCTGGGCCTCAGTTTCTTCATATGTAAAATGAAGGAGTTGGTCTAGATGAACTCTGAGGTCAAACAATCAATTACTCAATCAACAAGTATTTATTAAGCACCTACCATACATCAGACACTTTCAGCTCTAGACCTATAATCCTGCCTTTCCAGGCTTAATTCACATAACTCCACTTTGTGTACTCTACCTGCCAGGAAAACTGTTCCTGTAGCTCTTACCTGAAGCTGATATTTTATTGCCTGTGCCCATTCATTCACACAAACTTACCTACACCTGAACATTTTCCCTCCTCTTTCCTACTTTTTAGAATATTTATCTTCTTTCAAGGCTCAGCTCAGGTATATTTCATACATGACTCTGCCCATTTGTCAGTTCTCTCTCTTTCCTCAAATTAACTTAGTAGTGTGCATAGTGTATCCCTCCAGGAGAAGGTAATGAAGGCAAGGACTATTTAATGTCTGTTTTGTATCTCTAGTGCCTAGCAGAGTTGTTTGTACATCCTCTTGTCATGAGTAAAATTCAACAAAAGTATGCTGAGGACTGTTTTCTCAGAACAAGATAATGGTTTATTAGCAGGGGCACTACCTATTAGTAAAGCAGGTTAATGGATGCCTCAGTTTAAGCAAAAGACCCCAAGATGAAAACTTGACTCATTTTATAAGTTTAGAACAAAGAAAAGGGTAGGTGAGGAAATAATATAATTGGTTATAGGGTTAGTGACATCATGGGGTTGAGGACAACATGATTGGCTACGTGGTTGAGGCACAGGGAACAATATGGTTGGCTGGAAGTTGGGAATGAGGGGCTAGCAACAACCCCTCCTTTCCTCCTGTGGCTAAGAGAAGTTCACTGTTTGAAACCACCTGCAAGGTCAGAGATGGTGGCCCAGATTTCTTTGGACAGCAAATTAGATATCCTTGAAGGATAGCTTGGTGGTATAAAGATACCAGAGCAGACTCCTTGGTGCCCACCCACTTTCCTCAAGGATAGCAGATTTCCTTGAGGCAAGAACAGAACAGTGATTAGCAAGAGAACTAGATTTCTACACTAAACTCATTACAGGAGAGCTGAATTTTTGAACTAAGTTCAGAGACAAAGAACGTGACTTAGGCAGTTACAGGATAAAATCAATTAATTGTAAATAGGATCAATAAAATAGAGAATCAATTTAATCTTCTCTCTACATAATAAATATCTGCTAAGTAGTGGAACTGAATTGACTTACAAACTACTTGAACCTTCCAAAGAGTAGGAAGGGAATCTGTGTCCAAGCTCTCATTTCCATTCATTTGGGTACGTGGCTCCTTTCCCCCCAGTTCAGAACATCTAAGGAGTGATTAATAGAGAAACCAAAGAGAGGAATATCTGTTATTTTAGGTGGTCAAATATGGAATGTCAGCAACTTGCTGGTGACTCTTGTTTCTATCCCTGCTCTCACTTTTAGGGCAGAAATGGATATCTGTGGCATTCCAAGTTGGAATTCAGAAAGCATTTCTCCACGTAAACCTTGCCATAGGTGGTGTAGATTTAGCTGAAATACTTTTATATTATTAGGAGTACAAAGATTTCAGGTCCTTTAGGGCAAAATGTGGTTTTTATGACCTAGCCTGATAATACAGCTATCATTGATAAAGTTGTCTGTATGAGAAAATATATGATAAATTCCAAGGGACTACTGACAAACTCTTATAATACATTTATAGGTTGTGGGCTCTCTGTACTGAAGGAAAATAACACAATTAACATACCTTTACGTTTTCAGTTGTGTTCAACTCTTTGTGGCCCCATTTGGGGTTTTCTTGGTCAAGATACTAGAATGGTTTGCCATTTCCTTCTCCAGCTCATTTTACAGATGAGAAAGCTGAGGCAAACAGAGTTAAGTGACTTGCCCAGGGTCACATAGCTAATCTGAGGTCAGATTTGAACTGAGGTCCTCCTGACTCCAGGGCTGGTGCTCTATCCACTTTGCCACCTAGCTGCCCCTGAACTGATCCTTTTTTGGAGGGAGGGAGACAACTGTCAACTCTGAGAAGAGTATCACTGAAAATATTCTATCAAGTGCTTTGGGAGTAGTTGACCAGTCCAGTTTAGATGGAACTTCAATTGTGCATCAGCTAGCCATTAAGACTATGGAGAATTCCAAGTTTCCTATGACGACTAAATTTTTTTGGTTTGGATGATCAGAAACATTTTAAAACCTGTGACATATTTCTAACCTGTTATAAAATAATTTTAAAAAAATTATGTCCTAATAAAAACAGTTCACATATATGCTACACCTAAATGTTTACTAATGCTTTTTCTCACAATAGTCCTATGGGGGCAGTAGTGTATTATTAAGGCCCCACTTTCTAGATAAGAAATTGTGGTTATACAACTAGCGAGTGTCAGGCCCAGGTTTTGGACTGGAGTCTTCTGTCTTTAAGTCACTGCTTTTCTCTAAGTCTCATGTCTTTGATCATTATTATTTTTTAATTATTGAAGGAGACTAGAATGTCAGGTTTCTATTTTTTTTTAATTGTCCCATCATTCTCTAAAAATGACTACTAATTTAAAGTAGTCTTACTTTGTATTTTTATTAACAGAAACACTTCTGTCTTACATTGATGAAAAACAGGAAGAAAAAACTGGAAAGTGGTACTTTCCTCTTCGTAAATTCACCAGACCTGAAATGTACTAACATTTTTCTTCTCCTCTCATATTGAAGTCCTGTTCATTCTTGAACACCCAGCTCACATAATACTTGATCTACAAGCTTTTTTTTTTTTTTACTGCCCCAGCTGGGAGCAATCTCGCCTACCTATAATCTCCAATAATAGTCTGAATGTCTGTACAATTTCTCTGATAATTAATTATCCATCACCTTACCTTATGACTTCTCTTGTTCTGAACTGTTATTGGAAAAAAAAAATTATTGTTTTAAAGCTTTTCTCATGTTTCTGTCTAGTCTCCCTAGTATAACTCTTACCTCTTTTAGGTCAGGGATCAGGTCCTACATTTCTTTTTATTTGCTGCAACACCTCGATGATTGCCTTGCATACAGTAGGTGCTCAACAATCCAATAATTATCTGTTGTTTGCAAGATTTGCCAAACACTTTATATGTTATTTATATATTTGATCCTCTCAACAACCTAGAAGGTGGGTATTGTTATTATACCCATCTTATGTATGGGAGGAATTAAATGATTTGCCTGAGGTCACACAAGCAGGAGTATGTTCTAAGGGAGAGAGAAAATGAACTCAGATCTTCCTGAATCCAAGGCTACTATAGCCATTATAGCTTTGGAGAGCTCTCTAGACACTATGTAACACAGCTCCTTATCTTCTCGGTTTTGTTTATTTTCAAGTAGATGAAAGAAATGAAGAGGAAGAAAGTTTCTTACACTATTTTCCTGTTGGTTTATCTGACATCCCAGATGCACATCTGCTATAAACACATCTGTTTGGCTCTTCATTAATCTGACATTTAGAAGATGTTAGAAAATTTCAGCTGGGGAGAAGAAATAGAAACTTAGAAGGAATATGAAATGGAAAAATATCTCTTTTTGAAGTAGCTGGGGCCAACTTGAAATAAAAATGAATTCTTAAATGAATAAACCAACATAAAGCTAGTGGAGAGTAAATCATATTTAACATCTGAAATAGTGCTTATCATATTCCCAATTTTAAATACAAAAATGATCTAAATCTTACATGAAATATAATAATTTTGGTTTGGACCCTTGATTTTATCAGAATTGGGGGAACTGTTGAAATAGAATGTCTTCTACCAAAGGAGATCATCTGTTCATCTGTCACTTTTAGTCTTAGAGAGTTGTCTAGGGGGCACTGGGAGATTAAGTAACTTTTTATTCTTTGACTTCAAAGGACCCAGGACTTATTTTGTCAATGTGAGGTCTTCTCCTATTAATACAGACTGTCACCCTTCCATGACATGGTAGACTATTTCATGAGCTGTGTGGCTGAAAAAGTTCATTGCATGGTAGCAAAATTTCGGCTGGCAAGCCTCTCTGACATGATCCAGGGTAAAGTTGCATTCATTTTGTGCTAATTCTGTATTTACTTGTCCACATATATCTTGTTTTGCCTTATAGAAGGTAAGTTCCTTGAGGGTAAGAACTGTTTCATTCTTATCTTCATATACCTAGTACTCAGCAAATGCCCACCATTCACAACATCTTTAATACACGCTCATGGAACTGTATTGAGTTAAATATGATAGAAACATAGGATTAAGTGGACTGGTACTTAGTTCAGTATGAGTCACCAATACAATGTGACAATAAAATGAGCTAATGTAGTCTTAGACTATACTAACAGAAGCTTAAAATCCTGAGAAAGCAAGACAAGAGTCCTACTGTCCTTTACTCTCACATCAGATGACATAGAGAACCAGAGGATTCTGGATTTTGAGCAGGAAGGGACCTTAGAAGTCATCTACACAAGTGTTATCAAAGTCAGTTGGAAACATAGGCCACTAATCCATCCATAAGGATATCTGTGGGTCACATATTCAATTACTTTAAAAATGTAATGTTATTTATGTTTTATTGTCTTTTTGTTTATTTTGTTAAATATTAGCCCATTGCATTTTAATCTGGTTTGGACAGCACTCAGGAGCATTGCAGCTGCATCTGGCCTGAGCGGTTAATACCTTTGATCTGGTCCAATGTCCTCATTTTACAGATGAGGAAACTGAGGTCCAAAGGCATTAAGGAGCTTCTCCAAGGTCACACAAGTAGAATAAAAAGTGTCAAACTCTGGATTTGAACTCAAGTTCTCTGACTCTTTTCACTGTACTATATTGTGGCCAACTATGACAAAGCTCATGAAGCACTCCAATTATGGAACACATCTATTATTTATTTTTTAAAGTGATATTTTATTTTTCCCAATTACATGTAATTTTTTTAACACTTATTTTTTAAAAACTTTGAGTTCCAAATTCTCCCTCTCCTTTTTCCCCCTCCCTGCTCCCTGAGATGGGAAGCAATCTGATATAGGTCATACACGTGCAATGATGTAAAACACATTTTATGGAGCACATCTAGAGGATATTCCTCATCTGTAAAATGGGGAAACTAAGAAGGTCTCCATGTGTGGTCTGGGAACCCCTGGGGGTCTTAAGATCCTTTCTGGAGGTCCACAAGGTAAAGCTAATTCTGTAGTCATACTGAGATGTTTGAATTTCTGTTGGGAAATGATAATTTTTAAATGTAAAGGGGTCCTAAGACCAAAATTTTGAGAACCTTTGGTCTGATATATGTTTCCTTCTAGCTTTAACAATCTTTGAATCTATCAATCATGTTATATGAGGAAGGTTAGTGAAGAAACTAGGGATGTTTATAGTGAAAAGAAGACATATGGGGACAGGGGAGTCATGATAGCTATCCTGTAATGTGCTAGAAGATTGCAGTATATGAGAAGTATTTGGTTTGTTCTAATGGATCCCAGAAGGCAGAACCAGTACCAATAGGTGGACATTTGTGGGAACTGGATTTCAGTTCAATATAAGGAAGAACTTGCTAATCATTGTAAACCATCCAGAAATGGAATGAATTACCTTGGGGAGCAGGGAGGTCCTTGAAATCAGGAACTCAATGAGCATTTGTTAAGAATACCGTAGACTTCATTCATTCTTTGGGTATTGGTTACACTAGATGACTTCAGAAAGCTCTTTCAACTCTGATATTTCTTTGTATTTGCCCCAACACTGAGTTCAATAACTTTTCACAGAGTAATCATTCAATAGATATCTGGTTACTGATTGTGATGCCAATTTAAAACAAATTAGGGCTTGTTAGGAAGGCTAGCTGACACAATGAGCTTAGAATCTGGGTTTTATAGACAACTTGCCTTACTTGCAGAAAGGATAATATTCAGTAGTATTTTTCATGAATACAGTAAGGTAAAACATCTGCTTTTTGGTCTTGGGTGGATTTTTTTTTACATTTTTACAGGCTTGAAAAATAGTTATGTACCATAAATACCCTTGTATGACTCATTTACTTAGCTGAACAGCTGCCTACTCATTAGCCAGATATTTTTCATTTTAAGTCACACAGTTAAATGAATCTTGTCTCCTCTCTACTTCCATCCCCCAGTGGGCAGGAAAATGATGTACAGGTATTTTCTTGCAGAGCTCAAGTGTGTAGACCTCCTTTTGAGCCGTGGGAGGAGATGGCATCTCAACTCCATGACAGGGTGAATTTAGAAAAATAGTTTTTTATGAACTAGTTTTGAGTTAAGACCAGCAATTTGCAAAATATAGCAAAGATAGAACCAATGCATGTAATATGTCTCCAAACTTATTTCTCATTACTTCTGAAACTACAGCTTAGATGTAATCATCTGGTGAGATGACTTTTTCACCATCCTTTGCATACACCAACCTCATTTCTGCCACTGTGCTTTTCCCCTGTACCCCTATTTTTTTCTCTTTATGTCATCTCAAACTTAGAATGTTTGCCTTCCTCCTGGCCCTGGCCAATCCCCACCTTTTCAAGAAGATTTCTCTGACTACTCTTGCCCATGGTTGATCCCTCTTTTTTTTTAATTTTTAGGCAATTGGGGTTAAGTGACTTGCCCAGGGTCACACAGCTAGTAAGTCTCAAGTGTTTGGTCTGAGGCCAGATTTGAACTCAGATGCTCCTGACTTCAGGGCTGGTGCTCTATCCACTGCGCCACCTAGCTGCCCCTTGATCCCTTTTTTCTGAGAACATTATACTTACTGTCACTGTCACAGTTCAGCACTGCCCTGCTTATGTGATTTAGCCTTCCTCCCACTGAAATGTTGTCAGATTCCTCGTTAAAACATGGAGGTAAACTATGGTCCTGAAGGCTTTTCCAGCAAATCACAGGCTCTGGCAAATCCTACCAAAATGGAAAGGTTTCAAGACTGTGTGTCTGCCTTCTGAAGTACAGCTTGGCTAATTTCAAAGAGGCTAAGCACCAGAAGTTTAGTTACCTCATGAGAGACTGTTTTCACGACCACAATTTATGAAACAATCTACTATGTCATGGAGGGTTTGTATTAATGCAGAGTGGGGAAGAGACCCCACATGGATAAAATAAACCATGGATCTTTGGAAGTCAAATATTAAAAAAGGTATAAGTCCTGCTTCTCAACTATGTTGCGATAACTAATTTTTAAAACATGTTTTAAGGATCATAAAAATATTCCTTAAACACAACCCTGTGAAGTAGGTGGTACAAAGGATTTCATCCTCATTTTACAGATGAAGAAACAGGCTCCTAAAGATTAATTGACTTGCCCAGGGTTACAGTCAGTATAGATCTGAGACACAGGGCCTTCTAACCTCAAGTCCAACGCACTTCTCACAATATCAAGGTACCTCTCAAGCTCCCTTTAAAATCCATGAAGAAGGTGCAGCTAGGTGGCTCAGTTGATAAACTCTGGTCTTGGAGTCAGGCGGACCTGAGTTCAAATATGACCTCAGACACTTACTAGCTGTGTGACCTTGGGCAAGTCACTTAACCCCAACTGCCTCACCAAAAAAAAAAAAGTCCATGAAGACAAGGACATATTTTATGTTTCTCCTTCAAAATGCCTACCATAGTTATAGTCATAGAGTTACCAGACTGTAACAATCTCATGAGGGCAGAAATTGTATGTTTTTTAAATTTTCCATCTTGTCCAGCCCCCAGGGTAAGGCTCTACACAGATTTTTTTTTTGAACAAAAATTGATTAAATTGGAGGGCGGAGCCAAGATGGCGGAGTGAAAGCAGTGACTTGCTTGAGCTCTCTTCCAAACCCCTCCAAATACTCATAAAAAATGGCTGTAAACAAATTCTGAAGCAGCAGAACCCACAAAAAGACAGAGTGAAAAAAATTTCCAGCTCAAGACAACCTGGATGATTGATCAGAAAGGTGTATCGTGCTGGGCTGGGAGTGCAGCAGGGCATGGGCGCGCAGGCTGCAGCAAACCTGGAGCAGGCCTCAGAGGACTGAATCGTGGGCAGCTGTGGAGGTTTCCAGACTCCTCAATCCACTAATGCCAAAGACAACTTAGAAGGTCAGTGGGAAAAGTCTCTTTCTGTCGGTGGTCAGAGAGGAAGGTGGGTCTCAGCTCCATTCCCCAAGAGCCTGGCCGGGGGGGGGCAGCTGCTTCCGAGCTTCCGCCCACAGACTGAGGGGGAATCCAGTGGCTGATCAGAGAGGGACTGCAGGGATCTCTTTGCCAGTGAGAGGCAGGAATCTCTTGCTTTGCCCGTGTGGATCTGGGTCACAGTTCTGGGAGCAGTGCTGGGGTGAGGAGGAGCTGGGTGGTGGAGCTTGTAGTGGCTGTGGAAGAAACCCCTCCTCACAGTTACGGACAGAAAGGAATACTTGTGGTCACAGGCCAGGAAAGGAGTAAACACCTCACCCCTTATCATACAGGTCCCTACAAGTATCTCTGAAAACAGCTACACAAACCCCTGAAGCTTGGGACAGTACACTCTCCACATTGGAAGCAGACTCTTACCTT